GGGAGGGAGGAAGGAAGGAAGGAAGGAAGGAAGGAAGGAAGGAAGGAAGGAAGGAAGGAAGGAAGGAAGGAAGGAAAGGAATTTCTATCCATAGTAATTTTCTTGTGTCCCCTTGTTGATTGTGACTCATCAGCAGAAGCTGCCCAGGAAAATGCCATTTAAGGGCATACAGTCTTTTTCGTTTCCTGGTGGATGAGTTCAGACTTTGCTGTTGGGTTTCCCACGTTGCCTGGCAAAAGATACTTTTTTGACTTGTGGATCTGAAAAATGCCGTTTGGATATTTTAATTCCCAGCATTTCAGTGGCTTGTGAGGATGACAACACTATTTGAAGTCAGGACTGTATCATAAAACCTAGGTCATGCAATGAATGTAGCAGCGATTCGGTCACTGTGGCGCCGCACAGGTGAGGATGATGGAACCTTCGCTCTCTGAGTCGCTCCCCGGGGCATATGTATAAGAGGACTGGCTACCCAGGGTTAGTGAGCTCCGGCCATGTGGCAGACAAAGAAGCTGTGACTTTGGTCTTCTCAGGGCAAAGCTCGCCACTGCTGTTAACGAACTTGGGGGTATTGTTGTGATTGCCTTCATTTGGAAACCATCCTTTTGGGCCTTAGTTATTTCTGGTCAAATAGTAAAAAATATTAATTAGCTATTTAAATCTAAAACTTTACAGGTCAGTCAGAAGGTAGGTACTTGTGGAGTGTCCACTGCGTGCCCCACCATTGGAGTCTTAATAAGATGCTAATTGGAAGGTCTTTATGAGATATTTAACCTTTAATATATGGGTTGCAGTGAGTTAGATGGAGGTAAATGCAAGATCTAGAACTGTGTTAATAGTGATAAATATTTCAGAAATAGGCAAATTTCACTATTCTGATCAACAGGTGGAAGCTCACCTCAATTGCATTCTTCTAATTGACACATATTTCAACAGCTTTATTGTTTTTGCAGCAAATAGTACAAAGGTTATACAATAGACAGTTGAAATTTTAAAATCAAATTTAATTGCTTAATTGCAGTAATTTCTGGATGTATGTCTTCTCTTAACATTGGCAGATTGAAAAGGCTGGAAAAAGGTTTGCTTAAATGTTTCCCTCCCATGTGATTCCTAAACAAAAGATAGCAATTTAAAAATAGACTTTTCCTATTTGCTACCCATCTTTTGACTGAATTTCTTTCAATAAGTAAAAGTTCTCTTTGATCTTTTATTTTCAGGTGAGCTTTTGATAATTATTTCTTCTTTGGGCTGATTCTTTTGCCATATGATATATTATAAATTTTAAAAATGCCTTCGAGACAAAGATGAATGATTATTTGGAGTTATTTACAAAGTTGGGTTTTTAAAGACCGGTAGAAATTCAGGTCTTAGCTGAATTATGCTGACAAATGGAACAAAATCCACTTTAATTGTTTAACATAGATGAGCCAGTGTTGATTTCCAGGCTACAAATTGGACCTTAAAATTTACAACTCTTATTTTTCAAAGCAGATCTTTTATTTAAAGATTTTATTATGAAACATGTGTTGCTACCTGAGAGCTGATCACCTTAAGCTATTGGTATTTTGTGACTTTTCTGAAAAAAATGACTGTAGTTAATTACATAGCGCAATCTTTCTAAGTCACCAAAAATAGGAAGTAGCCGTTTTCTTGTACTATGAGATGATTTATGTGTGTGTTCTTTGACTAGCTGAAGAAGTCACAGATCTGAAGAGGCAAGCAGTTGAAGAGATGATGGATAGAATTAAAAAGGGAGTTCATCTTAGACCAGTCAATCAGACAGCTAGACCCAAGGCAAAGGTATGGGACGACTAAATGCTTTTTTGCCCTGCTTGATGTTTCTTTTTTTAAAATGTAAAATTTTGAAATGTGATGCAAGCTACATCTCCTTAATTCCTGCTTCTTTTGTATAATTAAACAAGTATTTATTGAGTATCTGGTATGCGCCAGGTACTGATTTAGGCACTGGGGATAAAGCAGTAAACAGGTGAGACAATCCTTGCCTTCCTGAGGCTTCTAGTTCAATGTGTGGGGGAGGGGAAGCTAGGGGCAAGGGTCACGTAATAAAGCCAACACAGACCTAAAACAACTTGAAAAACAGTGAGATTTACCTGATTGCTTTCACTAATTTCACAAACCTATTCCAGGTCACTTCAAAGAGAAAATTTTGTGTCTATAGTATCATCAGCTGTCTGGTTCAGTACTTCTTCCTTCCCTTTTTTTATCTGTCCCATTTCAATTGACCCAATAATAGAGTTTTTGACATTTTTCTTGAAAAAAAATTTTTTTCTTTTCTTAGTCTGTAAGGTATCAGCAGATTGATTCTCGTTCTTCTTTTAAACCAAAGTTAATGGTTCTTCCGTGCTCTCAAGGATGCCCCTCTTCCAGCTGCTTCAACATCCCCAAGTGCCGTGACTGTTCAGTACAAACTTCGCTGGGCTTTTAAAGTTGCTGATTTGTCACAGGCAGGCAAGATAGCCAGGCAAGGCCGGGATGGCCATGGCGTGGACTGTGGAAAGGGGGTTGGAAACACAGAAGGAATATTCAGCTCCAAGATCGAAATGGGAACCTCGGCCAGCCATGTAGAGTAATTGAGTCTCGTGCATTTAGATTCCAGGCCAGGGACAGAATGCAGGACTGGCAGAGAAGCCGAGTGCGGACAGTCTGGCACAGCTGTTTCAGTGCTGGCGTCTGGTGGGCGAGTGAAGAACACTGTCGTCGGAGTCGGGGCCTTTGCACCCTCCCAGCTTTCCGGGTTTTTTTCCCCCCAAAGTGGGAATAGCGCCTGCCCTCCCTGACCCACAGGGTGGCAGTCAGGATCAAATGAGATAAAATGGGAAGACACTTTAAGATACAGAGCATCAGTGGAACCTTTGAAAAGAACACATTTCAATGACTTTCACTGCGCAGGTATTTCAGAAGGAATCAGCAAAACCGAGCTGTTACTAGAGAAAAAAAGCAACGTCATAAAGAAGCAAAATTAATTTAGAAAGAAAGATGTTGCGGACGTCCGAGATCATAAGCCGTGTCCCGTGTGCCCTCTCATTTTCGGAACATTTCTTAGTCCCTTTTCTTTTCTGCCACGACTCTTCCCACAGTTACACATCACTTAATGTCAGGTCAAAATCTAGAAGAACAAGGACCAGCGGACCAGTGGGTTTTTCGCTGGTCATCGTTAAACCACGCAGATGTAGTGCTGAATGACCTGATCAGTAACCTTTGAAACAGACGGTGACTGCATGCCTGAGTACAGACGCCTTCTCCGAGTACCATTGGTGCTTTCCTGCAGTGTCACAGTATGCGAGTTTGCAGCCCGGGCTTCAAAGCTTATGCAGCCAGAGGGCAGCTTGAGTGGCATGGCGGCGGTTCAGAGTATGCTTTTAGCCAGGGTGTTTGTGCAGAAGTAATAGCTTGCCACCCAAACAGTTTACGTGCAGAAGTTGGCCTTGAGAATAGTAATTTAACTGCATGTTTTCTAAATTCCTTGACATCGTTGGGGGTACTGGTACGGTTAAAGTTAGCGTCTTAGAGCTTTCGACTAGTACTTACGCCTGGCGCTGATGGCATGTACATTTCACGGAACACCTAACGCTTTGAAAGTCGAATGCCTTAGTCTTATTTGTGCATGAGCCGCAAACCTCTCACTTTTCTCTCTTATTGCCCATTTAAAAAAATTAGAATGGAATCTTCTTCTTCTTTTTTTTAATTTTTATTATCTTCTAGAGGAAAGGATTATAGGCTGCTATGAATCACCTCCCATTTCTTCACGAGAGAGGAATTAGCCTACACTCTTCCAGGAATGAGAGGTTTAAGGAGCCCTTTCTTTCACTGTGTCTGGCACCGTTTCTCTTCATCTCTTTCCTTTGTGAACGGAAGTGGCGCAAGGGCGATCAGAGGGCTTTTTTGATCTTTTTTTTATTCACAAGGGCCTCATGCCAAATTTCCCTTCTCTTAAATTAGCTGAGGGATGCACAGAGACTGTTAGGTATTATGGGGCAGGCAGATATCACTGCCCAGAACATCAGTTGAGGTTGTCTTGTTCATGGTGTAGCCAGAAGAGAACTGGACTTTGTGTTCAAGACACCGACTGAAACACAGCCTTCCTCAGGTGTAGCTTCCCTTATAAATAAGGTGCAGTGATTGGACCGCGCGCCCTCTGAGGCCTTGCCAGCCCGCGATGTGAGCATTCTCCCGCGAGCCAGGTTCTTCGCCGGTCCCTGCGCCTGACTCAGTCCTGTTGTGAAGTTCAGGCAACATGACTTGCCAGTGCCGGTCCTCTGCCTGCGGCCGTTTGCCTGGCGCTGACGGACCCGAGAGAGGTTTTCTGCCCCATCGCCTGCTTTCTGCTCCGCTGCCTTCCTGTCCCTCACGTGCTGACAGAGTCCAGCGGTGTGAGTGGAGAGTGTCTATTGTAAAAAGAATTTGGCATAATTTGGAATTAGATCTTTGGAAGCTGGTGTTCACCAAATAAATCTTTTCTATGTATGACGATAAGAGGTGACGCAACGACATTTAGAAAATGGTAGTTTGAGTCCTTTTGCTTCGAATGTTACTTCTAATTTCCTATGTAAGTGCCGCTTGGGAGCACTGACATGTCTCATGTTTTTTTTTCCCTAACCCTAAGACGTAGACTTAATTAAAAAATAATGTATAGTCAACAGGAGCCACCAGCACTTTGCCGTGTAAAAATCTTTGTTTAGTATTTTAAAACTGATTTTCTCAGCGATTTTTCTTTTCTTTTTAAAATTGCAGCCAGAATCTTCAAAAGGGTCTGAAAGTGCGGTGAATGAATTAAAAGGAATACTGGTAAGAATAGATCTGTTTATTATTTAGTTGTTGGGGAAATGAAAGTATATTTTTGAGATCTATTTTCGTGAATGATTCGGTTTTGAAATGTTTTATTTTCATTTACGTTAAGCCTCATTTCTTTCGATAGTTCACTGGATTGCGTCGTGGACTCCTCCGTCGGGGGTGTTCACGATATAGCAGTACTCCGCTGTTTCTGTTCCAAAGGAATGGTTTACACTGTCACCAAAATCGTTGTTCCTATTCTTGCCCTCCAAACCCTGCGTTACGGTTTGAAGATCAAGTGCCCGGCCAGGTGTGAGGGTCAGCACGTGCTTATTAATAAGAGTCTCTTACAAGGATGGTGCTTAACTTTGGGCATGAAAATGGAATCCTTGGCACCTAATGTAAATCTGAACCCCTCGCCCCCAAACATATTAGTATGAGGGTCATAATCTGCTTTTTCCTCACAGTTAAAAAGTTTATTCGATGATGAATCGGAGAATAAAATAAAAATCCCTTTCTTTATGTAACTCATTTCATTTTCTAAAAGTAATTCACATCCACTGGAGAACTCACTTAGCACCCATCTCTCATTATATTTTTCTCTCCAAAGTATGAGCTTTTGCCAACAGAATAAACCAGTACTGCCCTGTCCAGCAGTTGCTGTCAGTGACAAACACCTCATGTAGAAAATGTTTTAGATACTAAGAGCTCTGTCCTCAGATCCCGTTACAGTTTCAGTACCAGTGAGTATGCAGGTCAGCAGACATGGGGGTGGAGGTACGAAGCTGATACTCCCACGTGTGTTGTTACTGTGCCATTGCATCGCGTGTAGACGTCCTCGTAATTGTGGTAAACAGAATGACTTTCATAAAGCAGGAAACAGTAGACTTCACAGAGCCTGGCTTAATTAGTTTGCTTTAGTTTTAGGTGAGAGGTACAGCACTGGCGGACGGTGCTGGTGTGCCTACAGAGTAAAGTGTTAAAACCAGTGAAGAAGCCTGTGGCTATCACCTAATGGACTCAATGAGAAAACTTCGTTAGCCAGTAAAGGGGAACTCCCTGTGACAGTCCTTTACGTTGTCTCTGCGTTAGAATGCTACTTCCTTAATTCCTGTTCATGAAGATGAACAGGAATGTCCCCAGGGACACTGAGGTTCTAGAGCAGAGTTCTGATCATCAAAGAAAGAGTAAACTATCTGAGTTCGATTTTTTTAAAAATTAGGTTTATTTGAAAAATCAGACGCCTGTATGAGATGCATATGAAATTTGATTGCCCGGGATATCCTGATCCCCAAGTGCTGGGTGGTATAGCAGGTTTACTGAATCGCAGCATTACTCCTAATGGTCATATTCATTATACAATCCGATTCACTATAATTTCGTGCCGCTTTAAGGAGAGAAATCTGTGAAATAGGTTTCTGTGTGAAATAATTTACCAATTATAAAGATTGTCAAAATATCATTCTTCTCTGCAAACTGCCCCTGTCCTCCTTGCGCTGGGCTTATCATTCGATTTCTCTACCTTATCTGGCATCGATATATCACTATAGCTGTTATTCTGACATTATATTTTTGCATTCAGTTTTTTAAGAAGTGGGATGCGTAGTGCTCTCCCCGACTCTTCTTTTCCACATGGCAACTCTCTGCTACCCCCACGGAAGTTCCTTTAAGGAACGATGGCTCATTTGTAACTCCTAGTCGCTTGGCACTAAGAAACCACACAACTCCTTGTAAGAGAGAGAAAGGAAGTCCCTCGCAGATGGGGCTTTGTGGGTGCTTCTTGCTGGAGTTGAGACCGTTAGGGTTATCAAAGTTGGTACCCAGCAAAGCACAGGACACCACCCTCACAGTTGAGGCATGTAAGAGACAAACATGAAAAGAACGTGAAAAGCCTAAAGATTGTGGCCTCCGGGGGAAAGCGAGCACCTGTACCAAGAGATGTCAAGAAACCAACAAACACTGTGATCAGTTCTCTCCTAGAACAGAGACCAGGAATAAACTCCGTGTGGGGTGTATGGCTGGAATGAAATGTGACCTGAGTTGTAAAGAGCATTCATGATTTAGAGACTTGGCCAGTTGCTAAAAGTTAGCATATGGGCAGAAAACAAATTTCTCGTTTGGAAAGCCTCACTCTATTTTGAGTTGTACAGTTTCCAAGCCAATTTTTAAAGTCTCTGTGTTGACTGAACTCATTTTTCCAAGCCTATTTATACTTTACTTTTTAAAGCTATGTATAGTGTAGATAAAAAGTATATAGGTCATTTTTCATAGTCCCACAAGGGTTTTCAGGTGTTAGAAACCTACTTGAGTCTTCCTGAGTCATTTAAGTCCCTCGAAGTGGAAATGGCAATTTCTAAAGAATAAATCAATACAAATTAAACTAAAAGTCTCTTTTCAAGTTCAGTTGCCTCTAAATCAAAGAAACAAAAACGGCATTTAAAAAATTCTCTTACAGGTCTTTCTCGAATATCTTCAGTTTTTCAGTTGGTTTTGCCACCTGACAATTAGATTAATCAGCATTGTGAACATTTAACTAACGGAGACTAAGGTGGTTAAATGATCAAAGTGGTTAAAGTAGGAATGGAGAACAGGTTTGGGAGCCGGAAGAGCCAAGTTCAAAGTCCAGCCCTATCACTGCCTTATCATGGGACCTGGCCCAAACCCTGAGGCTCGCTGAGTTTGAATCTCTTCTCTGTAAACTGAAGGAATTGTGTGTACCAATTGTGGTTTCTAGGTTAATTTCTGAATCTCAAAATCTATGATTACAATATAAATAGATAATTAAGACAATCTAAGTACTTTATTAGCTGAGCTGCTTAGTCATTTCTGTTGAGAGTCATATGCAGAATCCTCCATTTAAAGTTTACTCATATATTAGCTAAAGCAAACATAGTCAGTGAATAGAGAAAAAAGTGTGAGATTTAAGAATTAGAACTTGGAAAATGGATTCCTTCAGCATCAGGTATGATGAGAGGATAGTTTACTACAATCAGGAATTTGGGGGAAATAATGCTGTTATCTAAATGAAAAATAGATAATATTGTGAAAAACACATTCTTCAATAAAAGATATCCTTGTGTCAACTCCAGCCATTGGAAAAAATCACATAGGATGTCCTTGACATTCAAACAATGCAGTCATTCTATGAGTTATTTTAATAGTAATGGCCAGTAAGTCTTTCAAATATCTATTTACATATCTAACAGCTGTTAAGTTTTTAAAAATTATAAACACAAATGATTTGGGAACAGTTTTTCTAGTACATTTTTAAAAAGTTATCTTAATTGGCGTTAGTTCTGTTTTCTTTCCCATAACAGTGTGTATGCTACCTGAATAGTAAGATATGTAACTCTTGGTGAGTAGATACAGACGTGTTTGTTAACGATTACATAAACTAAGTAATTTTTAAATTATGAAATGAGCCTTTATAGTGTTACATGTATTATGATTTTCCTTTGACTATATTTTATGATATTTGCAATAAATGAAAAGGAGAAAGAGGTACTTCGGGGGGGTAGGGAAGAATAATACGCTTGATTAAAATATGAGCCTTATCTAAGTACTTAGCGCATCAGTTTTGGTTAGGCATCTGACAGCAAAAGAATATAATCTCCTAATCTTGTTAGTCAAGTTTCTCCCTGACAACAGACTGCTTTTCTATAATTTTATGCAGGTTGGGGGTGGGGTGGGGAACCTTTCTAAACAAAGCAATGTAATAGCCTATATCATGTGAGATTTGTAATCACCTAATTTTACAAACTACTTTTTGTTTTATAGGCTAAAGAAGAAACATGAGTTACCATTTTTAGCAAGTAGGATTCTGAGAATCCTCAGGAAATTAGCTGGGGACTGGGGGCAGGATTAAGGCAAATCCAGAGTGAGTTCAGAAGTGACAAAGGCTGGGCCGGTTGTCAGCCTCGGTGTACAAAAACTGCCTTCTGACTATGGCATGAAGTCTGGCAAGTTATACCAAACTTGAGGTTCTGATTTGCTCTTGTCAAAATACTGTGGTTCTCCTGGCATTTTTTCTCACCAAGTCTGCAGTATGGCTAAGGAGGACAATTTCAAAGAAATAGTGGGCATTTCTTATGCAGAAATGGACCACTTGTAATGGTGGGGTGCTAAATCCTTACATGTAAGAAATACATCACCTGGTGTTCTGTGCTTGACTGGTGATGGAGGCGGAAAGCCTTAGCTCTCCCTTCATAATATACTTCCTGAAGGAGCAGGGCAGGAAACCACTGCCTGGGTCTTTCTCTGTCATCTTGAAAGTCAATAGCAATTTTATCAGGAGCACAGTTTTACAGCATCTCTTGTATCCTTCAGTATCTTCTGGCCCCTGAATAATACATTCACTGCCTCTGCTGCTAGAATTATGGAATTGTGAAGCCGGGCCCTTGCTTGCCTCTTTCACAATGAAGTCAAGGTGTGCTCAGTGCATCACTTCTTTGGGTAGGCCGCTGGAGAGCATTATGTGCCTTCTTTGGCAGCCATGACACCATTAGCACCAATAGTGCAGCCAGGGTCTTTCTCTCTGAAGAATCAGCCACACATTTTTCAGTGCCACAAGGAGTTGGGTTCAGTAGCTTGTGGCTGCTGTATCAGGATAACCTTCTAAGGTGAGTTCACTATATCCCTTCTCTTCTCCAAGCAGCCAATCAACACACATCAGAATCTTAATCATCGGTGTACAAGTACCTTCCCACCACTGAATTTCATATAGTTAGCTCATCAAGAGGTGTTCTCGTACTGTTCTTTTGGTATGAAAGTTAACATCTTACATCTTCAATAGCGTCTTCTTAAATGATCCAACAATAGGTGTTACACGTGAAAAAACATGTGTAGAGAGAGAGAGTTCATTTTATTTCCTAATCCATTCAAATTCTGGTAATGTTTTGCTGATTTGATTTTTATATTCTTTTGTATATTGTATTAAGACATTAACCTTTTTGTTTTTGTTTTGTTTTCACTTTAGGGGACACTTAACAAATCCACTAGTTCAAGAAGCTTAAAATCCCTTGACACTGAACACAGTGAAACTGAGTTAGAAAGGATTTTGCGTCGCAGAAAGGTGACAGCAGAAGCAGATAGCAGTAGTAAGCTGGTTTGAATTCTCCACAGCTCTATTCTTCCTCTTTGCAACATCTTCCTTTAAGTTCATTTAGAACATGAAATCATCTTTTTAACATTATTAAATTTTTTTAATGTGAATGAGAAGTATTGGATGGTCAAAGGTACTTATGGGTATTGTATAAGAACTCTTAGGTATTTTTATTGACTGGGATGTTTACTTATTTATTTGTAGGTCATCAGGCTTTTTATACATCTGCTTTGCTTAACGCAAGATGCATTCGTGTAGATACTCAGGATGGGCTTTGGCAAAATGTAGCATTGAGTACAGGCTCTGGAACCAGACAGTAAGAGTGAATCCTGGCTCTGCCATTTACGTGCTGCTTGCTCCTATGCAAATTACTCAACCTCTCTGTGCCTCAGTTTCTTCATCTATAAGGTAACGATAATAAAAGCAGTACCTCAAAGGATTACTCAAAGGATTAAGTAAGTCAATATATAAAAAGCATTTAGCACTGTGCCTGGCACAAAGTCAGCACACAATAATTAGTAGAAATAGTAGTAATTAACATCAGTTACAAATGCAGAGAAATCATCTTTATTCTTCAGATCCGTTTGGTCTATTGTCTCTGCCTGTGCACCAAATGAATGAGAAATTCCAGTGCTTAGCAGCTATAGATGACCACCTGAGCAAGTCTTGAGCTCACAGTTTGCATTTGTGTCATGGTACACCTCAGAATCTGTTGCAAAATTAACTGCGTTTTCAGCTTTTTTCCATCACTTTGGTCAAGGTCATTAGCAGAAACTTTGTGGCCAGGAGTCTGGCTTTGAAAAACTAAAGTGAAATTCATCAGCAACCATAGCTAGTAAGCTGAATCTTTTAGACTCAGTTCAGTCAACTCCAACTAGTCCATTAAAACAGTTTAATTTGCATTGCTGTCATGTTTACGTCAAGTTTAGGTTGCTAGACTATTAAAGATTTAGGTTTATGGTAATCAAGCTCTAGTTTTCACATAGGGATTTACTCAAACATTTGAGGAAATTGGTTCCTTAAACTGAAAGCTACATAATACCAGCCAAACCTTTATTTTAAAAAGATGAAGCCTTTGTTTCCTTCTTTAAAAAATTCATCAGTTTTTGGTTTGGTCTGGAAATTCTGCTGTTATTATCCTATAAGAACCACCTCCCCCAAATAACTACCTCTCGGGAAAATGAAGAGGTGCCATAGAGATATTTTACCTTAGGATTGCTTTACAAGCATTTACCAGCCTCCATAATGAATGATTATTCATTTTGTGACTTCGTCAGTGCTGCGACTTTTCCTGTATTTCATCATTATAGTGCTCATGTAGCCATCATTAATTTTCAGGACTTTGCGGATGGCATTTTAGAGCTCCGCCATTTACATTTTGTATTTTGCTACTGACCTTTTTATTCCTCCAGAGATATTCTTACTTCACTCATGAACTTGGTTAAACATGCAGCACTCCCTATTTCAGAGTTAATTTTCAATGGGAGAAACAAGGAAACATTTTCCTTTGAGTCAGTACAGAAATTTAAATATTTCAAAATATAGGGAAGGTAGGAACACATTTTATAGGCATGGCGAGTCTCTTTTTTTTTTTTTATTGGATATATTCTACCAGTATACATATATTCAACATATCATTTGAGGAAAATTAGAATAAGAAATCTATATTCAATAAAATCAATATTTGGACTGAGAAATAAAAACTAATTGGTGGGGTCGAGAGGAAATACATACTCAGGAGAATTACGCAGAAATTTCCTTTTGAGCTCCCTAGTAGCCAAAGCAACAAAAAAAAAAAAAAAAAAAAGGAGGGGTTAAGATAGGGAACAAACCTATAAACTCTTATCACCTAGTAAAAGGAATACCTTTTAAAAAAAAAATGGTATAGATATTCTCCTACTATCAAATGGGAAGAGATATTTACCATGTAAATCTTTTAATGAAGGTCATGGAATGACAGTGAAGATTCTGGGGTAACGGGGGTGAATTAGGACGCAAAGCAGCGCAGCTGCGTGGTGAGAGCAAATTATGGCAAAGCTAAGTGTGAGGTCACAGAGTCGAGAAGAACAGCGTCCTAAGAGGCAGCCTGAGGTTCGCAGAGCTCGGCTCCCAAATTAGTTGTTATCTCGATAGCCCAGGGGCCAGCGAAGCACCTTTTTCTTTAGAATTTTTCTTATGGACCTGGTATTCCCTTGTTTTACATAGACTTGTGGCCCATCAAACTGAGCTGCAGGTGCCTCTTGGAAAACACTGAGTAGCTTTAACAGGATGTAATAATAACAATAATAATAATAATAATAAACATTATGCATTCTTTTCTATTTCTTTTTGTGTGTAAGAAAAATGAGAGCTCTAGCGCAGCTCACCCTCTTTTTTAACTGGCTTCAGTTGCAGGACAAGTAGCAGGCACTGGCGTATTTAGAAACGGGTCTTGCTTTCCCACAAGGATAGATCGTTTAAAGCTGTCTAGTGTTACAGTCCACAGTTACCCAATGGCAGGATGGAGCTGCTCTGAAGCAGTCCTTGAATTCAACTGGATCTTTATATTTTCTGGAACTTTTTTTCTTGATCCTTCTGCTCATCTCTTTTCTCTCACGTCCTTATGCAACATGAGGCTTAACAAAGGTGGGAGGGAAAGGCCTTTTGAACTCCCACGATCAGTACTATCAATAAAGCTGTCCGCCCACATGGTGTAGATGAAACAGATGAGTCAGACAGACACCGATGCTTTGTGAGCTGAGGCTTTCTGCCAGGTCCGGTCGGAGGGCTAAGGCTAGAGGAGGCGCCACAACAGAATGGCTGAGCAGCCTTCCAGATCCTCGTACGTAGATTTCGCAAATTGGAACTTCATTTTTGGAGTTTGTATGTTATGCTGTTGTAATACATCAGACACATTTATATATAAACGTAAGAATAAAATTCCAGAGCTTAATGCTGATGATCAGGGACTAGCTAGCATTTTGGATTGGCTAGCTAGTACCACTTTCCACGTTGGGAGACGGTCTGACGTATCTTCAGGATGAAGAGACTCCCAAATTTGTCCTTCTCTTACTGGCACCTTTCAAAGTTGTCCTCTAGCTTTATTTTTAGAAGTTCTAATTGTATTCGTACGTTTGTGACGTCATGAATCTATTTGTTTTACAGGGATCTTCCGAAGTTTCAAGAAAGACATACTAGAATCTTGCTAGAAAAAAAGAAACTGTCTAGGGTAGTATCTTTCTAACTAAAGATAGATAATAAATCATGCCCAGAATTTTTAGGTTAATATGCCAATAATTTCAGTAACAAGTCCTATTACAGTTTTTAATCCTGTCCCAAAGAGCAGAAAAGTCTAAAAGGTAAACAGCCAAACTCTTTGCTACTTAATTTTATAATCCTGTGTCTGTATATTAACAGGAAATAAATCCACTTACTTCTCAATCACATTAAAATGAAAATGTTCATAAAAGCTGTTTTAATGCTCAAGAAGCCTTCATGAGCCTTTTAAAAAGAGCCTTTTGACATCAGTCCATTTTGCGTTTAAAATGCAGAGCTGAGTTTTGGGAGGAATTAACTCTTGAGAGGCCAAATGGTTCAAGCAGGGCTGTCAGAAAGCCATACTCTGAGAAGAAAAGAGTTTTCACAATTCCAGTATTTCTAAGGACTCTGGTCAGCAAGGGAACCATGGCCTGGGGTTTTGTGGGTTCTTAAAGGTCCGTACACAATTTCTCAGCGTGGTCCTGGTGCATTGAAAAGCAGTAGTACCTCCAGAGCAGAGCGAATTTCTAATAGGAACATTTTCCAGCATGCTCTTGAAATTTTTAACAAAACTCGGCCTTTTCACTTCCTGAGGGATTTTCAGCTAATCTGTTTTTCAGTACCATATTAATCAACATTGCACAGAATTATTAAACTTGAGGTATGTGTTTGGTTTTAAGGTCCAACCGGGATATTAGCAACCTCAGAGTCCAAATCCATGCCGGTGTTGGGTTCTGTATCCAGTGTAACAAAAACAGCCTTGAACAAGAAAACTCTGGAGGCAGAATTCAACAGCCCGTCCCCCCTGACACCTGAGCCAGGTGAAGGGGCGTGTAAATTGGAAGGATGCACAAGTTCCAAGGTTACGTTTCAGTAAGTAATGATGCTCTTTACTAAATAGTGTGTGGAAGAATCTGTAATAACTAACACGTATGTTACTTTGCTTTATTTCTCTTTGGAGAGATTTTGATTTGGTTAGCCAATGAATACTCTTCTTTTGTTCGATGAGCCAACTTTTGATTCTAGGCTCCTAGCTTAGAGGTCTTATTCTGATCCAAAGCAGATATGTGGAAAGAGAATTCCTGCCCCCAAGCTGATTTGGTAATCAGGTTCTTCTACACAAAACTGGCCTCGATGGTGATTCTTCAGCATCAGAAGACACTTCATCAGTCTTTCAAGATTAAACGATTAGATCATCCCTCTTAATGGTTCGTGAGCAGCTGAAGAAGATACTAGATCTTTCAGAAGATCTAGCTCTTCTGACATACTTTGAAGGGTACATTTTTACAACCTTATTTTCTGGTCCTCAGTTAAAGACGTGCCTTAATATTGCTCTATCCCGAGGATAGAAACATAGATAAAGAGTTATCTATAGACTTGCTTGAAAGTGGCACTTTGTCACAGAGTTAATCCTGCTATTGAATGTGTTTCTGACAGATCTAGTAGATGATCAGTTTGTTTTATAACAATGGCAGCCTCTTTTTGAAATTAGTCTAGTTTCGCTTTAGTTCCCTTGCCAGGATGTCAGTGGGTTTGTCACTTAAAGAAAAAGAAGAGGTGAGACAAATCAGATCAGCTGAATATTATAATCACAGTTCATTAAACCTCTGATTTCCTGTTCTATCGGGAGAGAAAGAATGCTTTTTTTGTAGTTCTACTTGTCTTAGTTTAAAAGGTGAAGCCTGGACAAATGAAGTTGAAATTCAATTTACGTCTGTTTTTGCCAACTGGTATTTTCTTCCACTCTTGCATTTCTCCCATTGGTACTATTAACTTTTTTTTTTTTTTTTTTCCTCCTTTGGAGTGAAAGGCCTGCTTTGCTGACTTACAGTTTTATCTAATTTCATTGTGTTTAAGAGCACATTTTCTCCTGCAGTCATGTGCTTCCTTCCTTTTGACTACAGTCATTTGAACAGTTCTAACAGAAAGATGATCTATATTCAATCTTCACGTTTCCTATTAAATTTATTTAACACCTAATTTGACATCAACAATCTGGCTACATTTGAACCAATATCCAGACACAAAAGCAATTTGGCTGAGACAAGTTAGTTTCTGAGAAATGCTTCAGTGTGTGTGTATAGATTTTTTTCCTTTACCATTTTACACAGATAATCTTAATCAGAAAATACTGCAACTCCTTCCTCCTTTTGTCTGCCTTTTATTCTCCAAAAGTAAGTGGAAATTACATTCCCAAGAAAGGAAATGAAATAATTGCAGGCCCAAGGTCTGCAAAATATGTGTTGAATTGACAGTGAAAAGGATCCATGTGTTGACAGTTGTTAGATGCCACAAAGGCCTATGTGAAGCTCAATTTATTTCTCATCTTGCTTGTTCAATGGCTGCTTAAGAGACACATTTCAATTTAATTTATCTACTTAAAGCACTAATACAAATACTCTCTGCTGCTGTATTAACTTTTAAATTTTGTAACCTAATGCTTGATTATTCAGTTCTTGACATTCTTCAGCTGAAATAACTAATGCCATGTATTTTCATATTGAAAGTTATTTAGCAAAGAGTACCTTTCTGAAAAACCTGTTTCTTAAATACCATTAGACTATCCAAATGAATCTGAGTATTTTGTGTTTGTACACGGTAATTATTCCCTTCCCAGATGGCACACTTCATTCATGTGTAAACCTAGCTTTTTAATGAGGAAAAGAAGTATGATCTAATGTAGTTACATGTAAGTTTTAAAAGTAAAAACTCATGATTTGTCAGGATTCCCTGAAACTTGTCCAGCTGCCAGGAATGAGAAGGGTTACTTTCAGGGCTGTTTCTGGCGGCCTCTGAATAATAAGTTCGCTCTGTTATATAAACCACAAGGTAGAGGCAACGACATTATCTTACCCCATAGACCTGAATTGTCAGAACACTTCTAAGTCAGATAAGCAGTTAAAAAGTGAAACGTTTCCTTTGCTTTTTAAAACTATCTGCGCTGTAGTAATTGCATCTTTATTTTGATCTGTGGTGACACCACCACAGTGTTTCAGGTGAGTGCCACTGTTGGCTCAAGGTCCAGGGAGGATATGAATCACAGTAGGCTTTAGGACATACATCATTACATACACACACATGCTCACACGCGTGCACGCGCGCGAGCCAGTTCCTACCATCTTACCCTCCTGTCCTCCCTTCAGCTTGGCCTCTCTGGCCAGGAATTGATCCGCCCTTGCCCTTTGCTTTTGCTGTCCCCTCTGCCTAGAATGCCCTTCTCCCTGCAGCTGTATGACTTACCATCGCATCTCCGTCATTTCTTCGCTCAAACGTCATCTTTTCAATGAGGCCTGCCCCGACCACCATATTTAAAATCGTAATTCATCTTCCTATAAACTTCGATTCCCCCTTAACCTACTCCATTTTTCCCCATAGTAGTTATCTTCTAATATGCTATCTACTTTAGTATATTCCTGCTTATTTTCTCTTTTCCTCTGGTAGAATGTAAGCTCCATGAAGGTAGAAATTTTTTGTCTGTTTTGTTCTCAAGTGTATCTCAAACACCTGGAAGAATTCTTGCCTTATGATAGACTCTCAGTAAATACTTGTTGAATAAGTGAATGAATGAGTACATTTTTAGTATCAACCAAACAACACATTATCAATTAATGGGAATACTCAATTAACCAGCATGTTCCCATTATTCATCAATCACAAGCTGAACATTAGGGATTTTGGTTTGTTGTTGGGTTGGCGTTATCTGGGGTTTTTTTAAAAACATTTTTTAAATGCCCAGGAGTCATTTACATTCAGCTGAGTCTTGCATACTTCTTCAGCATCTTTGTACCTATACAAGACAAAGTTATCAGAGACAGCAGAATACCCAGTGTAAAAGGAAGATTCAAATATTCACTCTTGATTGGCCTCAGGTGGACAGGAAAATTTGCTAATCTTCTAAGAGAGATTTTAAAGTAAGAGAAGAAACAAAGATGTTTTCTGTATAAGATCTTCACTTAACCAGAAAAATAACATCAAGCTATTCCTGGAAATAGTTTTTCTTTTAATAAATTCTGAAAATCAACATATGTGTATATTCCAAATAATTGAGTAACTCCTGTCTGGTAAATTATAGAGCCAGAGATACATATAGTATATGGATTTATTTCCTAGAGACTTATAAGAGGGCAAGAGACACCTTTAATACTTAATTAAACAAGGATTAATTAAAATTAACATTCTTGTCACCAGCCTAAGCAAAGCAAGTTTTTTTGTTTTTTTGTTTTGAAAAAAAAAGAGAGAAAGAGATAATCAGGACTTGGAGAAGCCTAATTGTTTTTATTTCTATTTTAATAATAGCTTTAGAATATTTGTGTCCTGTTATTTCTCATAAGTATATACTATCTTGTAATGATACATTAAATCTAACAGAGAATTTGAATTTCATTAATTCTGACTATAATTCAGACAGGAGTTATGCTTATACTCTCCTTTTATGCTGTGAGGGGTAAACAACTGGCCAACCAAATGAACTGTATAAATTTGTTTTTGCTTTCATGCTCTTTCCTTTTGATTTCGAATAATCTGACAGTGTCAGATTCAAGCTAATCTCAATGGGTGGGATAGTCAATATAAAATATGAAAATGCCAAATTATGGAATTTTTAAAAGATAACTTTTATTATTTTCAGACAGCTGCAGTACCTGAAAACAGGCCGAGTGTTGCATAGGGTCAGAAAAACAAGAACGATTTCTGTTTTCACTAGTAAAAGTCTGTAGACTGGATGGAGTAACAAGGAAACAGAGTGTGATCAGTTTTCTCAACCATTGCCTTTCCATAATATATGCACAGGGCGCAGACATTGATTATAGATGGAGGCTATAGGTAATGGGACCATTTTCCAGTTTGGAGGTTCCGGATTTCGGAATTTGCTTCTGTGATGTTTTGCTGCTGTTATTGTATTTCACTAACATTTCTTGAAGCCAGGTGCTTTCATATATTATGTTAATTCTTCCACATGTACAGAATAGACATACCTCCATTTCACAGATGAGAAAACTGAGGTTGGTGAGGCAGTTTGCCCAAAATCCTGTTCGTAATCGATAGTGGACTCTGATTTCATTTGAACCTTTTTCATTCTCTCTCCAAAACCCATGCTTTTGAACTACAGCATATTGCAGTGAGCATATTAAAAGCTCGAGGAATAGGAGGGAAGAAGGTGCCCATGAGTTTTCTTTTGCGGAAAGCAGCGATTCTGCAGTCGCCCCATTAGCCCTGTGCTACGTTCTGCCCCTCTGACCCTACATACTTGTAGGTGATGTCATCTCTTCCGTTCTCCCTCCTCTTCTTAAGGCTAATGTAAGCCATTAAAACATCTCTTGCCAAGGGAAGAAAATGTTACCCAGTAAAACAAAGAATTCTGGAAAGGAGAGCCCTTCCGAATTAACAAGAAGACTTAAAGAGTACTTCGAAAGAAATTATTTTAATGTTTTTGGGGTCACATGTCTAATAAAGGGACATGCTTCACAATTAAACTTTGGAAATTACCACATCAAATACATATTTTTTATTAATTGACATTTCACACGTGCTGAATAGTTTCTTCCCATAAGTCAAATACCTAAAAAACATCCAACTTTAATCATTGCATTAGGTGCTTTACTAAATGATAATATAATATGATAACATAAAGCTGACTCATGGTAAATCCAGTTGTTTCATACCTTCCATAGCCTTATGCTGTACCTCTTTGAGGCAACTCCACCTTTGGTCGATTATCGGGTAGCTCTTTGAGTTTGTGCTTAGGTGTCCATTTGTCGTCATGTTTTAGGGCATCTCTGTTCTAAAGAAAGGCAGGACAAGTGAGCCTTCAGGGTGGAGGAAGAGATGAGCAGATCTCAGAGTTCTGTATCACAGGCAGGCAGAGGCCTGAGGGG